CCCCCAAATAGGGCAGAGGGCCTCATTTCTGGGTGCAGTGTCTCTCCAAGGAAGGAAAAACTGGTACAAATCTTTTTGCCCTCTGAAAAGATTCTCCTACTTGCTAGCTTCTGAAGTTGCCCTGATGTCAACCAACATCACCAATATATCTCTACACTGGAGAAAGTTCTATTTGCCTGTATAAACCAGGAAGAGAGAAAATGACTATTTTATAAGAAGAAAAAAAAAAAAGAAACTAAAAACACTGTGTGATAACACGGTTAAAAATTATCCCCTAAAATTGTGAGGAAAAAAAAGAGCCGCCCACACAAACTGACCCTTAAAATTAACGCTTTCAATCTAAAAATATATTTTTGTAAAGTTTCATCTATTTTCCTTCCACTGCACATAAAAATGATTAATGTCAGAATGAAACTTCCACATTTCAAACTCTTGCTAACAGGTGTAGCATTCTTTACATAAACATATTCATTGACCTGTCGCCATTGATAATCTTAATTAATTCATCACAAATGAAACAAAAACAAATGTTTTACTCCCCCCACATAAGAAATAACGCAATACAAATACCCACTCTCCCCCAAACCCAAAAACTGTTTAAGTTACGGTAACCTGAAATGCACCATCCATCACAGAGAGCAATTGGAGAAATCCAACAGGGCTCAGCAGGAAAGATTTTTAATAACAGATTGAAAAACAGAATAAAAATAACTGCATCAACAGAGCCTTTCTTCCTCAGGCCACAAGCCCGTTCTTACTTGAACTTTTTTTTTTTTTAAATGGCATTTTGGCCACTAAAACCAATCCAGAACATTATTAAAAGTTAAAAGCTACCAATTACTTCTGTCTGTTCTTTTAAAGCAAAGTTTGGCATTACGTCAGTTGGTTTAAAGAAAACAAGAAAGAGAGAGAGAAAGAGTAGGAGAGAAAGTTTCCTGCTTGTATAAACTAAACCACCAGGGAAGGTGTCTAGCCACTTGTAAAGTATTTACTGCAGGTTTTTAAAGAGCTAGAAACATTTTAAAAATTGAAAGTTTTTCTTTCTCATTTTTAATGAAATGTACTTAGCAACGGAAAGCGTTATCTTTCATGTCTTTCTTTGGGGTATTTCAATGCTACTTGTATTTCAATCATAGCTTTGAGTCAGAAAACGATTTCCACTGATGCTTCAAATGTGAAGGACATAGATAATTTTATCTTCATTTTTGCTACCTGGATTTGTGCTCTTAGGAAACAAAAAAATGTTTAACGATAAAAAGTAGACATTGCTCCCATAACAGCTACTGCAGCTGCAGTGACCATCTAGGCTTATTCATCTAACTAACTCTTAACAATTCAAATCATTTTCATCCACAGATTCTTTTGCAAATTCAGCAAAGGGGTTTCCTTAAACCCAATGCTCTCTTTCTAACCTAAACCAAGTTCTACGTTATTATACCCATCAGAGAACCAAATTAAAGGCCAACGAATTCGGTTTTCAGGAACCTGAGAACCACTGAGTGATGGGACAACTCTAAAGGTGACCATAATAGCAATATTAAAGGCATTATTTATAAAGGTCATATGTAAGTGATAGAATATCCTATACAAATAAACGGCCTAAAACCTACTAATATTCGAGGATAAATTTTTAAAAGGGCTATTCCCTCTGCAAAACTCTTTGCTACTGAACGGTGTATAAAACACCACTTGGTATTTTAAAATATTTCCTTTAACCTATTGGTTAAAGTTTTTAGGAGATAAATAATTTTGATAAATATAAAAAAAGTCTCCTCGATTTTTTCAACGTAAAAATTGCAAAATGCGTTAGTATTCTCTATCTGTGATGAGAGAATCAGACTAAATTTCTACTTAATAAAGGCTGTAAGAGTTTCTTCATATTTTATCTAAGGGGGACCTTCCAGTTCCATAAATCATAACTAGACTAGTAACAAAGAATTCACTTCTTTGTCTACGGTGGGATCAAAAGATGAACACAGTTATCACGTAGATAGACAAAGTAAAACCAAGTCTAGACATGCCGTCATTAATTTCCCCAAATTTCAATCAGCAATAAATAAGGAAGCTAAATGAGTAAACAAGACTCAGAATTAGTTATCAAGGCTGTTAGTACTGAAAACCAGCAAAAGAGGGGAAGAGAAAGAAACCTCTGTTACCTGGAAGCTTGACCAAGGATGAACAACAGAAAAGCAAGTCCATAAAACTTGCCTGTTTTTATCAAATTGATTGTAACTTGTGAGCTGCAATATTTGGGACAGGACTGTCTGAGTTTATAGTTTTCTGTGCCTGCCAAAAACAGATGCAAACTACCACACTGACTGTCCTGAGGAAACTAAATTAAGCAAAGGCAAATACCAAGTGGAAAGCTGTCAGCCTGTTGAATGAATAGCTGTATTTTACAGACGGAGACTATCTTAATGAGAATATGTTTTAATGTGCACCAGTCATTTTCAGTGCATCACTTATTACAAAAATAATCATTTTCCCTTTAAATCAATTATAAACACCTGCCTCTAACTTTCTTAAAGTCTGGTACACACAATAGCAATAGCATAGTGCTGTTATATTATTGTTATCAAAGGGATACTGAAAGGGAAAAAGTCTTACACATATGTATTATAAGAAACATTTAAAGGGTGGTTATCTATATCTGTGTTAATTTCAAATTCAAAATAAAGTTTCAGCTCAAAAACAATCTGCTGCAAGCCCTCTGAAAACTTTCAGTAATGTTTATTTACTTCAAAAAAGGTAAGACAAGAGTTTATTAAAACTTACCACCCTGTGGTATTTAACACAAATGTACAGATCATAAATTGCAAATTATATTTCTTCTGCATTTCTTCTCCCTGGCTCACTCTCTCCACAAGATACACACACACACACACACACACACACACACACACACACACACACACACCCCAAAAATAATAACAACAATAATAGAAACATCACTGAAATACTAGAATCTTAAAAGGCAGCTTTTCCACAGATGCATTCACTTCCCTGCTTTGAAGGTTTTCCTTATGAATGAAGATTTCCTTGTGTGTAGTGAGACCTACCCTGTGGAAATGAGAGTAAACTCAGGAGTGGTACGTGACTTAAAAGTAAAAATAATACTGAAAATACGGTAGGGCCATGTGTAACTCACTTATGACTAGCACTCTCATATGGATTCTAACCTATTTTTAAGCAAGTATGAAGATGTTATAAAACCCTTTAAAATCTTACTCTTCAAAACACTGAGCTCTAAAATCAAGCCAGACTTCGCAGCCACGATGACACTCTTCTTCTTTTAATGTTACCTTTAAGAGACAAAGGACCAAATCTAAAAAGCAGCAAAGACCCTTGCAGCGTCTGAAATTCAAAAGAGTGACTAACTTTTTTGTGAGGAACTTGCTATGTTTCACCGTTTACTGGGAGAGCGTCCGACTTCGTTACTACGTGTGGAAAAGCATTCTGCACACACATATCCTAACATATAACAGATAGATCAGGAAGCCATAAACATCAGCTCGCCGATGGTAAGTAATACTTTGCCAAGAGAGTATTAATAAAGACTAGGAATGCCCCACGTTTAGAGAAATCAAGTCTGAGTGTTGGCACTAAAACTCTCTTTCCCCTTCAGGAGTTTTATTTTCACATTACTAATATCCAGAAATCGTCATCAAACTTTAGCACGCTGGTGGCCTGGTATACAACTGGATCTAGAGATGTTTCCATTCAAGGGTATAGCTTTAAAAGGAAGTTATGAAATCTAAGGACAGAGAAGCTCTAAGGCCCATATGTTTGACTTGCTAAGATTAAGCACGTCATTAATAAACTTTCACTTAAAGGTAAAAAAAAAAAATCCTCCAAATGTTGGTATCATTTCCAGACTGTCCTGTCAGCATCACAACTTACAGGAAACGCTTCATCTTCCCATACAAACCCTGTATTTATTCACAACCCTGGCATACTAAGGGAAAGAAAAAAAAGCCCACACCGTTTTAGAGCTAGTTAGCTTTTATACATTAACCGGTGGGATATCTGAGAAAGCGGTCTAAGCAAATGAGGAGCATGGCAGAAACTTGACAACAGTGAGCTCAGGAACTTTCATTCTCATTTTGTCCACGTCAAGAACTGGCCGCCCGCATGACTTTTTCTTCGCTGCCCCTTGCATTTTTAACTCTGGCAGGCTTTTCTAAATGATCAACTTTTCCTAAAACCAGCAGGAAAAGTAACATGATGCCAGCCAAGATCCATAGGTTTTAACCTAAGAGCTGGAAAACTCGAAAAAGTGGTTGGAAGCTTCCTAGTTTATTTTTCCTTTGGACAATCACATTTTCAGCCAACGACCAGGCCTAAAGTAAGCATTTTTGGGTAATTCTGTCTCGGGCCCTATCTGTATTTTCCTTTTGTACTTTGTCGCTCTCAGCCCCTTTCCCGTTCACCTGGTGCGTTTACGAAAAGTTCAATGAATCTCCAAAAGTTCAATGAATCGGCCTAACTGGTCTGCGATTTGAACGTCTCCGCTAAGCATCTCACTTCACTTACCTCACTTAAAACTCTAGCCGTGATTTTCCAAAATAGGATAAGGATGAACACGCTCCTATAATTCTGATATATCATTAAGCTCCATCGCTCTCACTCAAAAAACTTTCAAAGTCTCAATTCTGAGGCCTAAAAAGATATGAGGAAGTAAAGCGAGACCTAACATCTAATATTACGTCCAGGATTTTCCTCTGAAACCCACCAGTCCCTCTAGCCCTCTAACTTAAATTGCTTTAGAGTCTTAGGGCCATAAAACAGTCAGTGACTTCCCTGGGGAAAAGTGGGAAACACCACCAGCTCACACAGGTACTAACAACAACAAAAAAAGCTTTCCCAGCCACAAAAACAGCTTTGCACTTCAAACGGCTCCCACCGCCGCCTCACCCTCAAATTATTCATGGGGTCCCATAATCCTGGAGTTATTTGAAGGGACAGCGGTGTTTGCCTTGGCCTTTCAAAGATGCATCTCTCTAGAACCCAAACAGGAACTGAACAGAAGGCGAAGCGCCCGGCTGCCTGGATGTCCCACCGCTGTCAGGCATTTCATCACCGGCCAGTGTCCGCTGACCCGCGACCCAGGGCGCATCATCCGCACCGCAGAGGAAGTCTGCCCCTTCCTCGGCCCCTACGGAAGCGCCCGGCGGCGAGGCCTGCCACATGGCCCGGACAGGGCACAGACCCCTCGGCCCGGCTGCCCTGAGCCGCGCAGGGGCGGGGGCGCCGAGGGATGCGACACCCTCCACCTCCAGCCCAACTGGGCCTTTAAGGGAAAAAAAAGTTTGAAGCCTGGCTTTGCAAACTCTTCAAAGCCAGCGCCAGTCCTGGGCTGTTTTCCCACTTTGGGGGACCACACGAAGGCCCCTCTCTGAGACCCTCCCGACCCTCCCGAGTTCTCCCAACTTACTACTCTGCATGCCGGTGCCTAACCTGCTCCCCGCTTGTCAGGAGCCCCAGAAAACTTGCGGTGGCGGCGGCCCCTCGGGTCCAACCACCCCCAGCTCCTCCGCTGCGCCCGGTAGGAGAGAATTAAAATCAGCCAGAGACAGCGAGGGGGGAGTGGGGCTGCGAGGGGGAGGGGGCACCGGCCTGAAACTTCTTTTTTTGGCAAATGGGGATTTGTTTTTCCTCCTCCCCGGCGGCTGAACTTGACCCTCATGACTCCAGGGCTACTGCAGTTTGAAGTCTGTCGTTTCTAAGACTCAGATGCCTCAGACCCACCAAGGGGGGGGGGGGGGGTGGAGAGCAGAAGGGAAGAAAGAAAGAAAGAAAGAAAGAAATCACACGCGCAAAAAAGGAAGAAAGAAAATGCATGTGAAACCCGAGAAGCCTGCTCCTGGCTTTCTGCATACTCTCCCTCTGCTCCTTTTTTTTTTTTTTTCAAAGAAAGTCACTTTTAATTCCCAGGGCTCCCCGCTCGCGATCGCCCACATTTTGCGCACACACGCGCGGGCGCAGCACTCGCGTCGCGGCTCCGCGGGCCCGGCAGAGGGGCTCCAGCGCCCCCCCCGAGCCCGCTGCGGCCCCCGGCCCCGCGGCCCTCCCGGGCCTCCCCTCCTTACCTGTTGATTAATCGTCAAGAACACCCTCGGCAGCCCGAAAGATGGTGGCGCGGCGGCCAGAGCCATGAACCGTCTTCGTTGTTTGCAGAGTTGATCTTGGATTATTGGAGGGGGGGGGGAAGAAAAGGTCTTTCCTGCCTCCCCCCCTTTCCCTTCCCTCCCCCCCCCTTATAAAAAAAAGAGAGAGAGAGAGAGAGAGAAAGAGAAAGGAAATAGAGCAAGGATGTGCCCGGTGCCGGGTGGGAGAGGGGAGGGGGGGGGTGTTGTTTTTTGTTTAAAAAAAAAAAAAATAGGCGAGAGAGCGATGGAGAGGACGCGAGGTCTGGAGACAGGAGCAGCACCAAAAAAGAGGACGCTTGAGATTGCAGTGAGATCGGGTCTTTATCAGAAATGTTATCGCTTGTCAGGACCTCAGTCTCCGCGCATTACGTCAGTTTCAAGACACCAACACTATTAATATCAAAGGAGCCTTCGCGGAGGAAAGCGCCACCCCAGACCAAGCTCCCTTAAAGAGACAGCGCGCGTCCCCGCGCCGCCGCCGCCGCCGCCGCCGCCCCGCCCGGCTCCGAGCACCCGCCGCCGCCGCCCGCCCGCCCGGACCGGCCCCGGCCGCGACCAGCCGGCTGCGCGAGAACTTCGCCCGAGTCGGAGCGCGGCGAATGAGAGCTGCGCGGTGCAGGGACCCGGCTACCTTCCCGCCCCGCCTCTCCCCCCTCCTCCTCCCCCACCCCCCGTGTGGGAACGTGCGGGCTGGAAAAGGAGGAAAAATCCGCAAGCTTTAGGGATAATGTGATAAAGACAAGGACCTACCTTGGGGAGTGGCGGGGGTGGGGGGCAGGTGGGGGCCGGTGCAGGGCAGCCCAACCGATGGTCCCCAAACACTCGAAGATGCTCTCCTGAACAATCAAAAGAACTCTAAAAGTGTTTACCTTTTCGGTTGCTACTTTCCCTTCTCGCTCCCAATTAAACAGCGGAGGATCGCGCGCGCGTGTGTGTGTGTGTGTGTGTGTGCGTGTGTGTGTGTGGCCCCTCCCCCGCCCTTTCGCTAGGACCGGCAAGTCTTAGGACACCTAGCCGGTGCTCAGGGTTTCCCTTGCATAGGATGGCCAGAGGGCTTGGAGGGGAACAACTTGAACTCTATCCTGAGTTGGAGAAGTGCGGACTGAGGTTGCTATGGTTTTCTGAGCTGGAGAGAAGCTAGCAAGCTCAATAGGTGCTTAAAGGGGGTACGACAAAATAGATAAAATGGGGACATTATTCAAATGCAGCAAGATTAATACCTGCTGCTCTTTGGGGTTTTAGTAGCAGATAAGGGATTCCGAATTAAGCATGACATTCTTTTTACCAATTCACATCTTCAGATACTCTCATTGTTAAATAAAATTCTCTCAACATGAAGTTACTGAATCGAGAGAGGGTTTTTTTTTTTTCCTTCTTTTTTTCTTTTCTTGAACTTCTAAAGATCAACAATGCATAAAAGAAGACCAAGACAGGATTTGAAGTATAGTAGGTGCTAAAAACTAAATAAACATTTCTTAGCCGTTTGGACTTAATTTTCTTCAGTGGGGTGACTTTGGCGTGTTTTTCCTCTAGTGAAAGTCAGTTTAAGCTAATTTTGTGCTACAAGAAAAAACATCCTTCCTTCTCCAAACTACAAAATGATTAAAATTAGAGTTTTAGAGAGGTATGGCTCATGAATCTGTGAGTTGAAGATGAAGTAATTTCCTCCAAAATATTTTTCACTAAATGATTCTCCCATCTTCTCAGAGAAAAGATGAGCATATTTTCGAAACATATTATTATCAGAAGTGAAAAAACCAATCATTTAAAAAAATTACGTGCTCTTAAGAACTTCTTTTTCTGTAAGGTCTTCATTTCTGCTTAATACAACTAGTCAGACAGATAACATGAATCCATTTTGTAACACTTTTGTTTCACAATTGTGTCCCATACACTCTTTATGAGCAGATAAACAACAGCACTTTTGCAGTAGAAACTAGTCAGGTAAAAGAGTCAAAACACAGTTCTACAGTGAAGTAAACAGTATATCCCTAGAACAGTGAGAAGACAATGAATCTCATATGCATGGAGTTATTCATATGTTATCATCAATTTAAACGGATTTGGAAAAAGATTTATATATGGTCTTGCTTTCAGGGAAAATTCATATCAAACTCTTCAGTAAATCTCATAGTCACCTACTAATGACCACCTGCATATTTCCACACTAGAGTCATTTAATACTGTCCACCACCAATTTCCACTGTAAAAAGTATTCATATATTAAATATAGAATTTTATTTTCTTTTTTAAGTCATAAATTAGCTTACCAACTTTTATGGAAATATGCACTGGCACAGTGAGAAGCATTTTTATTCAGGGAAAAAAAAGGATCTGAGTGAAACATTCTTTAGCCATGACTAACTAAAAATATATCGAATAAATTTTGAAATATGTATCTAAATAGTCAGACCATTTGTATTTGAAGGGTTAATACCACTTAAAACTGCTGAGGCTGGTTTGGAACTGATAAAAACTGAGGCTATAGCATCCTACCAACAAAGTTAAATAGTACAATCTATCACAAGTAATAGTCCCTAATCTCCTTCTGCTCTCCAAGATTTAAATGGTATTTTAAAAGGGGACGTGATCTTCCTGTCTGTCACCCTCAAATCTAAGGCAATCGTCAAGAGTGTAAATTTACTCACATGAAACAATCATTGATTAAATTGGTTAAAAAAAAAATAAAATTACACGCTTTTGCAAGCACAAAACCCTTGAGATGGCTGGTGTTTTTCCACCTGTAATAATAAAATATTTGACCATTAAGTGTACCCCAAATTATATATTATATAAAAAGTTAAAGCCGAAGGTCTGAGGGTGAATTATGTCCTTTAATTGAAAGGATAAAGTTACACTTCAGGTACTAAGCCAACAAATTCATGGTCACTTAAAAATGTAATGAATGAAGTTTCACGGACTCAATTTTGTTGAAGTTTGCCTGAGAAATGAAGAATCTCTCCATGTTCTTTTTAGTATTTCGAGTTGGAATATATAGCAGATCAAAATGCTGTCTGTATCAATCCATTTATATTAACCTCAAAAGATCTATAGCGAACTTAATAAAAGCACAAATATTTTTTGTGAACTTTTCAAGCAAATTACTTATTTATTTATGAAATAATTTATGAAGAAAATTTTTACCTCATGGTTTAGATATATTACATATGCTCTTGATTGACACAATATGTTTAAGCTCAAAGGCCCTCGAAGCATTAGCATTTTTTAATTCTAGTAGGAATATTTCAAAACAACCAGCTAATACATGAGGTCATAATTGTTTGACAGTTGTTTTTAATATATAAAATAAGTTATGTATATTGTTTTCCTTCAAATGTTTGTTGATTTGTTTTTATAGTCCTGACATTTGCATGGCACAAACTGAATTAGGGGAAATATTAAAGATTTATTTACATTTATTATCTTCTGCTGTCAAACATATGCAAAGCTCTTAAAACCATTCTCTTCTTTTGCTTTTATATGCAATGCATTTCTGAACAATGGAGCCTGGATGTTAAAATGACAACCTTTCTTTTTGAAGGGTGCATCAGAAAATAAAGAAGAAATTAAGAGAAATTTTAAGAAGCAAACAAAAGGAATAACTTCCAACTAAAATAACTTCTTTATGATCTTCCTTAATTCTTTGAATTCTGGAATTTTCTCTCAAGGCTGGACCACTGATGAAACAATTCCTTGAGCTGTATTAATGCTTATTTATTTATAAAAATCACATAATACACTTTTTTATTTTAAACATTCCTTTCCCACCTTTTCTTGTAGTTTATTCATCAGAGATGCAAGAAGGAATTAGTAGTTACGCACAAGCATGCTTGTCTTACATTTTCAACCTTTTAGCACATAACTTACTTACAGTCCCCGTGCCTGTAATCACAATGATTTTACCTGATGGAACACGTATTTCAGAAATGTAATCCAACTGTTTACTCTAACACGTCATAAATTGCAATTCCTTTCAGAAACCTCAAAGATTGACAACCCTTGGTCCTAAATGCCAACTGCTTTACCACATACTATCAAGAAAATATTTACGTATTATTTGCTCTCAAGTCCTTACTATATCATAGGAAATGGAAGACCATTTTGCCTCCCAGCGTATCAAAAGCAATTATGGAAACAGGCGGCCCTCCTTCAGACTGAGACCTGAAGCAACACTGTGTGTATCAAAGGTGAACTTCCCTTTCTTCTTGCAATCACACACCACTCAACCTTTAAAAAAAAAAAAAACACCCTCTTCTGCGCAAATTATGATCTTTTTCCAAACTACCTATTTCTGA